AGCCTTGTCGTTGATGCTCTACCATGAGATGATCCGGCCCAGCTCAACCGGCTCCTATCTGACACTAAGAGAGAGAGAGAGGGGACAAGGTCATCAGGTCCCACGTGGAGCAGTTCAAATGGTCCTATTCCTACCCAACTTGTAAGTCACCTCCGCCACCAACTCTTCCACCCCTCTTCCCCTGGACTCGGCCAAGAAATGATCGCCTCTTCTGCTTTTCCATTCGCCTTAAAAACCCAGACCTCCCCAGACTCCCAAGACTCACTTGTCACTTGGCTTCCACCCGCCACTTTGGCAGAGCAACCTATCACTCAGCGAGGAATATTCCATTTGGGCCTTGGCCCATATGCTGAATCCTTGACACGGTGGTAGCGAGCACAGCGACGAACGTCATGACTCTCTCCCAACCCCGTTTCATCACACAGCCGGTGTGCTTTCCCTCTCCCCACCGGATGCGACACCATTTTCATCTATGCCGCACGCCCTGGGCTGCGACATGGGGAGGTCCTCTCTTTGATGGACGATCCGCAGTCTATATTGGTATGTGGGGCGGTGGTTGAAAGTCTGGGGGAGATCTCGAACGGGCTTCGTTTTGAAATACTCAACTCTCACAAATCACCCCGTCTTCAAGACTCGCGTGTGGTCTTTCATACGCGCGTTCATTGCTGTCTCGATAACATAAAGGCCGACATTCTCCAACCCACGCCTCGCATCCAATATGGCTGGAATTGCTACAGGGACGTTGAAGGCGGAAGCGTTTGACCATTTTGAGCTGGATCCTACAAAGAGCGAGTCGTCGATCGAGGACATCGACTGGACAGAACAGGAAGAGACAGCCATCAGGAGAAAGATTGACCGGCGGATTGTGCCCCTGGTCACCCTGCTGTACCTGTTCTGCTTCCTCGACCGTGCCAACATCGGAAATGCTCGCATCCAGGGAATGGCCAAGGACCTCGACCTGGTGGGCTACCGCTTCAACTGGGCCCTCAGCGTCTTCTACATCATCTACCTCCTGGTCGAAGTCCCCAGCAACATCCTCCTCAAACACATCGGCCCTCGATTCTACATTCCCGGTCTAGTCTTTGGGTTCGGCTTCGTGTCCCTCTGCACCGCCTTTGTCAAGAACTTCAACGAGCTGTGCGTCGCCCGTGCGTTTCTGGGCGTCTTCGAGGGCGGCACCATGCCTGGCATCTCGTTCTTCCTCAGCACCTTCTACAAGCGGCGCGAGCTGTACTTCCGCGTCGGCATCTTCATCTCGGCCGCTTCCCTCGCGGGGGCTTTTGGGGGCTTGTTCGCCACCGCACTGTCGTGAGTAAATTTCCCTGGTGAACAGTAATGGCTTTTGCTAATGAAAATCCAGTCGTATCCCTCGGTGGGGCACCGAGTCTACTCCTATTCATACGTGAGCGCTATTACCAGGAATGTGCACTCATTCAGTCGTCTGACATTTTGTATTCTAGCTGGAGAAATATCTTCTTCTTCGAGGGCTTGGTGGGTTTCAGCAATATTTCTGCTGCAAGCCTGGGCTGACGGGGCTTTAGATTACTGTTATAATCTCGGCGGCTGCGCCAGCATTGATGCCGTCTAACCCGCAGACTTGTCGTTTCCTCACCGAACGAGAACGGTATATTGCCCATGAACGGCTGATCCGAGAGCATCGCGCTGTGAGCTGTCTAGGTCGTCTTATTTTCAGAACCACAAGACTAATAAGGACAGGATCCGATGGAGAGGGTTCAATGGCATCACATTCGAGCCGCCATCTTCAACATCAACAACAATCTGTGCGCGGCCGGTTTCTTCTTGATCAACATCACCGTCCAAGGTCTCTCTATTTTCATGCCCACCATCCTCGCTGATCTCGGGTGGACCGCCACCAAGGCGCAACTGTACTCGGTTCCCCCGTACGTAGCTGCGTGTCTCGTGGCTATTTTGATCGCATACATCAGCGACAAGACTCGAAGGCGTGGCATCTACCTCGCAGTGGCCACGTTTCTCCCCATCGCCGGGTTTTCTATCCTTCGATGGAGCACAAATGCCTCGATCCGTTACATGGCCGTGTATTTCATCACCACGGGAGCATTCCCAGGTGGACCGGGATTTCTGTCGTGGGGAATAAACAGTATGCAGGGTCGCTTGGATGCTCGACGGATCACTGCTAACACTTGACAGATTCTGCCGGCCCAGCAGTGCGTGCTGTTGCAACAGCGTGGATCGTGTCGATTGGCACTCTGGGAGGTGTCCTTGCCACGTAAGGGACCGCGTGCTCCAGCATTTCTGACAAGTCAAACAAGCTGACCTCGTACAGATGGACCTACCTCGTCCGCGATGGACCCCGGTACCCCATCGGACACACCATCAACCTGTCAGCCCAGATCATTGTATTCTTTGTGGCCAGCTTTGGAATCGGGTACAACATGCGTGAGAATAGATTGCGGGAGCGAGGGAAGAGGACGCATCGACTTGAGGGGTTGAATGACGCCGAGAAGCGAGACCTCGGGCACAAGCACCCTGACTTTAGGTATATTCCGTGAGGTGAATTTGGAATAGGCGAGGGTTTGAACAGGCAGGACATGAGAGGGATATCAGTAAGTCAGGCGTGAGAGGTATCTACATATGTACAAGTGTGCATAGTACCACTACTCAGTTAGGTAGGGAGGTGAAGCCTTGCTGGAAACATCGAGAATTCGGCCGTGTAACAAAAGTGGCGCTGGACAAGAATATCCGCATCCCACGTGATGACGCAGGTCTTTTGCCTGGCCAATCAACGAGCCCGTATCACCCTGTGCGTCATTGAGGTGTGGCGGCGCCTCGGGATGGATTTGTCTGGCGAAGCTTCTTTTATGCCTGCGTCGTTCGATGTACATACACTTAAGGACAACGACTCTCTTTTCTTTCGATTCACAACTTCTCTCCCATCTCGCATTCTGTTACAAGAGCACATTCACCATGTCCTTCATTCTCCGGAGGCCCTTTGCGGTCTCCTCAAACACATTGCGACCACTCAGTAACCCCTCGACGCTCGTCCGGGCGTTCCATTCCTCTCCGAAATCATCAAACACCTTCTTCAACCCCCGGCCACTTGGCTCGGCCGCGAACGCACAGTCACTGCTAAAGTCTGCAGCTCTGCGCAATGGCTTCAAGCGCGGCTACCAGACGCCCTCGTACCAACCCGCCAACCCAGCCGCGAGCGGGAACCTCACGCAACGGCTTCTCTACGGCGCTGCGCTGATCGGTGGAACGATCGTGGCCACCAATTTCATCTTTAACCGCGAAACGCGCGAGGATGGCGGCATGCCGCCCTTTGAGCGGGAATACCTGAATCAGACGTTTATGCACACCGGCCTGGGCGTCGGGATTATAGGCATTGCGGCCAGGACACTGCACACGAGCGGATGGAGTTACAGACTGATGGCCACGAACCCGTGGTTGGTGGTCGGGCTGGGTTTGGCGGCCAGTATTGGCACCATGTACGGCACCATGTACACGCACCCTGACAAGTAAGTTCTCTTCTGTCTTTACCCTGCAAGGTCAGAGGGACATGTTGCGCTGACAAGATGGAAATAGCTACGTTCAAAAATATGCCCTTTGGACAGCTTTCAACGTTACCCAGGCCGCCATTCTCACTCCGCTAATGTTCCTCTCGCCTGCGATCCTGGCTCGCGCTGGACTCTACACTGTTGGCATGATGGGTTCGATCGCATTCGTCGGCGCCACGGCCAAGCAAGAGAAGTACCTTTACCTGGGAGGCCCGTTGCTTGCGGGTGTCGCCATCGTCGCCATCTCTGGGTTTGCGCCGCTTGTTCTCCCCGCCACGGCCGTCCGCACGCTCGCCTGGACCGAGAACATCTGGCTGTACGGCGGTCTCGCAGTCTTTGGTGGATTTACCCTCTACGACGTGCAAAAGATCTTGCACCATGCCAGGATGAGCGAGCGGGGATTGGTGAGGAAGGACGTGGTCAACGAGAGCATCTCGCTCGAGTTGGACTTTTTGAACATCTTTATCCGGATGGCGCAGATTTTGAGCATGAGGCAGAATAACAGGAGATGATTGGGTGGATGGTGCGAAGACGAAAATAGCATTGCATGAGGGCGGCGAGAGCTTCTTTTTTCTAGGACTTGCAGCAATTGCTTGAACCAAGGGATCACCAACAGAGATTCGGTGATTCACGGAATCAATGGTCTCCAAGGATTGATCATGGAGAGGAGGGGGACGTTGATTTGTGTCGGCGCACTTCGCATCACTTCTCAAGGACAAGGCTGAGAAACCTGGGAGGCCACAAGGCTCCAGCGAATGAAGATGAAATCTCTCTCCTCTCTCTGCCGAGTGTTTCTGATTCTGTCCGCAAATCATTTGCTTATCGTGTATGTAGATCGGCCCCTTCCAAGGCAAAGTAATATTTGTCCACCCAACAAATAAATGTCTGGCCAGTTCGGAGGTCTGCTCTTGCGCAATACCAGCTACATTGGGAGTGCCACGTCCGCCGCACTGGTCCAGTTGCGCAAAATCGTAATTCTGACACCCCTTTTGTCCTGGCGTGTATTCAACGGGGCGGCGGCAACTAGGAGGGAATCAAACTCAACTCAGGCCCCTCACTAACTCCCAAGTGCCAGGTATCCCGCCTCTTACTTGCCCTCATTCGTCGACAATGTCTAGTGCATATGCATCACGCGCTTTCTCGAAGCGTGTTTCGTCGTCGTGCTACACAGCCACTTCAAGAAGCCACTTCAAGAAGGATACATCAAACACCCACTGCGACTGCTCCACTGCGTCACCCTTCGAGTAACGCGGTCGACGGCGTGTTGGACCTCAACTCCAACAGAAATTTCGAGCTCTATAAGAAGGTACACCGTTTTGTCCATGGCTGATCCAACTCTTGACACCATTCCCAACTTCATTCCCTCACCAGCAAGCCTGCGACTTTTCTCCGACCCAGGTCAACCTGAGTTACCTGAAGACAATTTTGGTCTCAGCACTATTAGCCAGCCAGATAATACACACCATGTCCGTCCACGCCTCTCGCATTTCGCCCGAGGTCATCAGCGGCATTTCCTTTGGGGTGATCATGTTCTTCATCGCCATGTACGCTCTTTGGCAAACCCACCAAGCAAATCGTCATCGTCAACGCTCAGGTACTGTGGCCATCTCTGTTGTTTCCATTTTCAGGCCCAACCATGCTGGCTGACTCCATGTACAGACGCTGTCGTCCTCGTCCAAGGACGCAGACAGCAAGCCGACGTCTCGGACCAAGTCTGATGAAGCTTCTTTCTCCCTCACCACATCTTGTAAAGCTCGACACTTCCTTTGCGTGATTCACGGCGACTATCCATCACGCCAGAGCCCGGGCAAACTGGTAGCTTTGAGGGTTGAAAAATATTCTGGCAGTGTATCGGACGGACTTGGTTGGCGTGGAGGGTTGAATAGTATGCTAGTGGTGTATCGTATGGACTTAATTGACGTTGAGGGTTGGGAAATATACTGGCGGCGTCTCAGGCAGAGTTCCATCCTTTGAGAAAGGACAACATGTTTGCTCCGAGATGCTCGATGACATACCCCCCCTCAAGAAGAACAAGAGCTGGAACTGTCTTCAGCACCTGCCTCGTTGCCCTTGCAATAGTCTCATAATCATCTGTATGGATCTGAAAATGCCCTAAAGGGTCGGCGTGGAACGTGTCAAATCCCAGACTCACAATTAAGAACTCAGTCTTGAACTCCACCAGTTTCTTCAAACCGTAATCAAGTTTCGTCAGATACTCTTCAATTGAACTGCCGACTTTGAGCGGAAGGTTAACGGTCATATTCTGTCCCTCGCCTATCCCCGTCTCGTCTTCCTCGCCGGTGTAATACGGAAACTCATCTTTGCCGTGGATACTCACATACAGAACTTTGGCGTCGGCGTAAAAAATCTCCTGTGTGCCATTGCCATGGTGGAAGTCGATGTCCAGGATTCCAATTTGCGCATTAGGCTGATGCGAACGCCATGAGCTCACCGCTAAAGCAGCGTTGTTGATGTAACAGTAGCCACCTGCTCGTTGGCCATCACAGTGATGCCCTGGAGGCCGACATAGGGCGACGACAGTATCAATGTCGTTGGGAAGCCCATTGTCAAAGCTAGAAAGCATGTCTGTCCCCTCACATGCGAGGTTCGCCGATGCTACTATGGCTCGATAACTCTCTGACATGATGCCACTGCTCATATCAAAGGCATAATACCCTGCTCTTGCGAAGGGGTCCTTAGGTGCACGTAGCGGCTTCCTCGTGGAAGTGGGGAACACAAAACACTCCGGCAACACATGACCATCTTTCTCTATCAGACCCGCCGAGAGCCACTCCTCATATACATCTCGTAGATGCTGTAAATATTCGAGGCCGTGGGTTTCTGAGGTGAGTCTCAGAAGTCGGGGATTTGGGCCTTCCCTCACAGAGCTGATTTGCTTGGTGTAAGTCCCATATTCAGAGTGATGAAGAGCTTTCAGGATTGCTTCAAGACGTTCCGGTGATTCCAAGGCAGGGATGAGGTTGGAGCCTAACAACTCGACGGTTTTGTGGAGGAGCGTGTCAGGGTCCCACAGGATCACCAGCATCTTGAACGACGTCTGTTGTGGGGTTTCTGATGCAGAGCATGGCAAATATCGAGGTTTTTTCGCCGACAGCCTTGTCGAAATAGGGACTTGCCGCCGCCTCGAGCACGGGTACGTCAGGTTGTCAAGATCGGAATGATAAGCTGAGTCTGAGATTTTAGGGTCAAGGAGGATTGTGCGGGTGATAATGGGCCTTGCCGTCACTAACTCGCTTCGGTCAAACAACATCTGCCGAGGCTACCGAAGCACGTGACCCCTTATCACGAGGCATGTGCTCCATCCTTTCAAAAGTTCTGTGTATACATATTGCCGTATATCGGGCCCTGTGGGGGAAGAGATGAGCGACTCTGTTGTGGCTCTATTGAAGGCATTGGCTGCATATCATTGTCTAAACGAAGTTAGTACCCAACCCGTTTCAAGTGGTCCAAAGGTTGTCCCAATGCACACTTACTGCTATTGATGAACTGCATGAGCCGTGCATTCTTTTGTCGGAGGTTCCTGCAGGTATCCTTCATGCTCTGGAGAGATCTCTGCTGCGACTTTGCAAAGTTGTCGAGGATGACGGCCATGTTTGCCAGGAATGCCCTGCCTGACGTTTGGAGGTTAGAGCGAACCTAAAGGGAGAAACGCAATGGCTACGATACTTACTTGGTTGAACAAGATCCGCGGCTAAGTCGCCCGCAGCCATGCTATTGTCGTGTGAAGACCTGTTCATGAAGCCGAGGGCTGCAGCTTGAACAGCTCGAGTGTAATCCTCCACAAGTGGCAACACATCATTCTGGAGAGGGCCATCGTTGCCCGTGCCGGGCTCTAGAAATAAATCGTCTATGCCTAGCGAAGGGTGCAATGGAGCCGCATCGGCAGCAGCAAGCATTGGTGTCGAGTCCACATCCACCACAGCAAACTGGATCCCTGGATTATTATCGAAACCGGTCTGGTTTAATGTCTCCGAGCCCAGAGGGACTGGTAGAGTGTTATTGAACCTCGATTGCTCCGTCATCATGTCCTCGGGCAGTATTCCTGGAGCCATCGCCATGTCGGTACCAGCCATGACGTACTGACTGAAGTCTGCTGATAATGACGGCACCGAGGGTTCGGTGATAGGGAAACCAAATGACGGGTCGTTTGCACTTACTGAGAAGCGCTGACTGCCATTCGGGACGCCGCCTACTGGGGCAATTTGCGAGGAAGTCGGATCGTCCGGAAAGACTGTGTAATTGGTTTGTGCACCAACAGCGCCGAACCGATGAGTCCCATCTGCTTGTGTCTGACCCCATTGATTGTGGCCAACGGGAAGAGGAAGGCTATTGGGATTAGCAGACGTTCCGTACGCGCCAGGTTCATGCCCTTGAAAGATTTGCGGTTGGAAGGTTTGCAGTCCACTGCCGGCTTGTGCTGAAGCCATATGGAATCCGTCGTTGCTGGAACTCCGTTGCATTTCCAAATCGAGGTGGTTGAAGTCAAATGGGGACTCTATTGAGGCATTTGCAGAAGGATCCGAAATTTCTTGTTTGAATTGTGGACGCGGCATGTCGGTAAAGGAAGCAGATCTTGACCTCGACCTCGAGCGACTGAGTTCTCGACGGGCGAAACGACGGAGGTTGCGATCCTCATGTGGTTGGAGATTGCCGCGCTCGTCCACATGTGAGCGAGGTCTTCGACCAGGACGACTCACGTCGTAGACGGTTTTGCCGGTTTGCGCAATCTGATGAAGCCTTTCCTCTCGATTTGCGTACTTTGAAAATCCCCACTGCTTGATTTTGCGCTCCCATTGGCGGGGAGTGGCGCTGAAGTTGAAGTGTTCTTTCATGTACTCTGCGGCTTCCTTGCGTGTCATGCCATTATCAATGTAACAAATGCGGAAATTCTCCTTCTGCGACTCCCAATCTTTTTCATCATGATGGGTGTCAAGAGCCTGCAAATCGTCGTCAGAGGCCATGATTGTAACACCAAAGAGAAGACAACGGAGGAATGTCGATGTTGATAAGAGTGCTTCTCAGCCTGATGGTGTGGCGCTTGTCACCTGAGACTCTCAGTCACAGAGTCTGATAATCGCAACGAAGAGAACTTCAAGAGGTGGATGACCGTGTTACTGGAGCCGAGAAACAGGTCATTGATATCTTGCGCGACATAACGACAACCTTTGCGTCGATGTTCAACGGAAGAAAAGCGCCGACTAGCAGATGATGCTTGGTGGTAACCGGGGTCAAGGGCTTAGAGCTTTGTCTCGGATACACCGTTGAGCGCCAGCTCGCCGTGCCTGTTGTTGGTTTGGCCCCGACTTAGTGGCACTGCGGCTGAAAGGGTTGGTGTCTGGTTCGAAGTCGCCGGCACGATCCAGGGCTTTGGATTGCGCCTGACCAACCAATTCGTGGGGTCAGTGGGCACCCAACGGACACCTAAAGACTAATGACGGGCGATGCTGACCTCGCCGATAGGAATTAGGATAGTGGGTGGTTGCGGCGGTGATCATTATTGTGATGGGGGTTGCGGGTTCAGCCTGCGGCGGGGTGGATAGCGCATGGTTGGACGGTGGGTGTGGCTGACGTGGCTGGTGAGAATCGCGCCTTTCTGCGTATTACGACCTTCTGGTTCTCCGTGGAACAAAGTACGGTCAAGTATTGAGCAGCTCATAACATTCAGCCATTGTACAAAATCCACGCCCACACGCCCATTTCCTCATCCTCTCCGTCCCTCCCATCCAACCTCTGTTCAATGAGAAACCAGCAAGGCGGTTTTTGCCCGATGGAATTGTCGACTCACACTGTAGCCTCTGCAACCATGTCATACCATCGTCCAGTCGATGATATTCTCCGGATGGGTTTGCCAATTTCCCATCTATCGTCTGAAATTCGACCTTGTCTGAGCAGCCCAAATCCTCACCATCCCTGCGTGATGACCTGCACCAGTCTTTGGACAAACCAAATGAGATACAGTGCGTGATTTATGGTGTGTGATTTGGCCACAATGTTGCGATGATGCCTGCAACCTTCTCTCTTACCAATGTTTATATAATTTCTCGCCACCCCCCACACCATACTCAGTGTCTCCAGAGACACGAACCAAGCAATGTCTTGGGCAAGGCCTTGGTTCCGCTGACAAGATTATCCTTGACATCCATGGCGACATTTAAAACCATAGGCTGGCTATTCACTGCCACTTGGATGTATGCTGTGTCCTTTATCTGGCATGTTAGCAATACTGTCTTCAAACGGACGCTGAATTCAATCCCTGGTTGTGAGTACAAGTAATGCTCTTGGAGAGAGGGGGAAGGGGATGTGTGGGCTGACCGGTCTAGATACCGAGCAACATGGGGCTGAGCACCCACCGCCTACCCTTGAGCGCGAATGCTCTCCATCTACGTCGTCGAGCTTGAACATCCATCTGTCCGAAGAAAGGCTACCAGACACCCCGCCTCCTGCACCACCGTCGCAACCCATTGGCCCCGACGAGCAAGATTTTCAGGAGATCGGAAGTTGGGAGCACTTTTGCAACGGAAGTTAGGGTAGAGTCTGGGGAAAGAACCTTGCAGGACTGGTAGTTGGGAGAAGCTTTTGGGTGGTCACTAGGGTCGACGGGAGCCACCTGTCTGGGGAACGATGCTTACTAGAGGTATTTAGGGGAATGTTGTGTACTAGCAGATGGAATTTTCCGAACGGACAAAAAGCCCAAACATCCAGGGGCTGTTAATGTATGTACTTGGTCCTGTACCTTTGAGTGGCACACTGGCACACTGGTACCACTGGGTACTTGACCCTAAGAAATCGCTCACGTGGCATCGTGAAGTGGTCGCGTCATGATGGTGCCGAGAAGGGGTCCATTTGCGCCACTCGGTCCGCATCACTTTGTTTTGGCAAAGACAGAACAATTCCGACTACTATCAACCTCAATAACACATGCCAGTGCCCTTACAATCGGCACCTCTGCCTTCAATATCTGGAATTTCTATTTTGCGATGATATCCTGGAACCGCATTGGCAGTCACAAGTTTGCGCCGATGGGCCGTCGAACGCCTCTTCACCATGTCCGGCGCAGTCGTAATTCTTTCGTCCTCCCCTCCACAAACATTCGCCCGCTCTCCCCCCCCCGATGACACTCTATCTCCATTGCGGTCACCACGTGCCCTTTACACACTCAATCCGGCCGATGCAGAACAGTTTAAGGACTCCAGACGGACTAGAGACGGGTTCTCGAGCGGTTACAGCAGTGCACGTACCTTGCTCACAAAGGTTACCGCTGAGAACATCCCTGTCCGGTCTCAGCCAAAAGATGGACCCAAGACCAAAATCTTACAGCATTCTGAAGATCGTACCGGAAAACCACTCCAAGCAGCAAAGCCTGCCGAAAAGAAGAAACAAACTCTAGCAGAGGAGCGATCCAAACACTTCAAGTCCATACAGTCGCTTCCTCCAATGCCGCTTCCAAGCCACTGGGATTCGCAGGCGACCAGAGCGCATGATATACAACCCTCAGGGACAGAAATGAAGTGTATCGGAAACGAGGGCAACTCAAATGAACGCGAAAGCCTCATCGACTTATATTCCAGCCCCCTGTCATTAGAGAAGGCCATTCCGAGGCGCATGGATTGGACACCTGTCAAGCCGACTGCGCATGCCATGGAGACACCACATTCTGAAGATCGAGTCGTGGGATTTACCAATGATCTCATGGACTTTTATGCCTTTGCCCCCTGTGCTACAACGGCTGTTGAGACAACTACAACAACTGACGCAAATGAAACGCGGCTGATTAGGAGAAGAATCGACCTTGTCATGACCACAGAGGCAAAACCTTCACCATCTTCGTGCAACCCGCAACCTTATAAAAACCTGGTGAGATGTGACAAAGCCGGAAGGGCAAAGCCCGCACCCAAAAAGCCTCTCACAATCACGGGACTGGCCACTTCGAACTACAACGACGGCCGACGGAACGACAACAAGTTACCGCCTATGCTGGAATATCTTACAGCAACACAAGTTGGTGCAAACACCGAAGGAGACTCCACCATTGAGACCAGTTCGAAAACCGCGAAATCAAAAACTACAAACAAGAAAGCACGCCCAACCAAGAAAACAGCGGCCAAAACGCGATTGAAATCTCCTACGTCCGCAATAAAGACCACTCTGGAGCAACCGTTTCTTTTTGGCCCAGCGAGTCAATTGGCTCGGGACGAATCGCCTACACTGACGCGGGATACGGTGGAAGCACTGAGGCGCTCGGAATGCTTCTCTTCTGACCCCATATCACCATCGTTGACACAACCCGCTTCGATTGAGTCAGCTTCACCTATCTTCTGTCGCGGTACGAGCCGATTTGTGAAAAGAAGGAACTTGTGGGCTGCGGCTGGTCGAGACGAGGATAATGCTTTGCTGCAGGTCGACTGTGTCGACCTTACTGATTCACCTGCTGTTCGCCTAGCTCTTGCCGGGAAAGACGTCCTTGTTCAGCCTGTCGACCGGAACCACCCAGAGGCAAACACTTTCGAGAATGATGTGCCAATACTTACCCAAGCGTCATTTCCCAAAGTTGGAGAAGCCGGGTCTCTGGTCGACATCGACGATCTTGTCACGCCCAGCCGTCCAACACCTATCCATATGCCTGCACAAACAGGAGTCAGGCTATATCATACGTCCCGTACACTCAAGCAGCCGCAGAAGGGAGCCGATATTCATCACAAGGACGACAAGTTGCATACTAAAATAAAGGATGTTGCAGCGAAACTAAAGCCATCTATGCCATCCTACGTGGGATTCTCCGATCACGAACTTAAGAAACAGATATCTGCGTACGGCTTTAAAGCTGTTAAGAAGCGAGAGGCGATGATCGAGCTTCTCGAACGATGTTGGGAAAGCAAACATGGTCAGCAACAGGAACATGATGGTGACGATGCCTCTACTGATGTGACGAAGCACGCGGATTTACTCAGTAAGATTCACGACGTCTCTACTAGACCGGCTCCAAAAGTCAAGAAGCCTCGCGCGAAACGAAAATCCGAATCCGACGACACAAACATGACCAAGGAGCCGAAGAAGAGGAAGAAGGTAGCAACCGAACAAAATGGTCCTGCCCAAAAGGGAGGGAAAGGCTCTCGGAAACGCATGTCAAAGACGCCGACGGATGAGAAAGTTGTTGACGTTGATGATTTGGATGATGCTCATCAGCAAAACATCGGAGGCCACAATCAGGGAATCTCCCGGGCACAGGAACAGACAGCGACCCCGAGACTTGAGACTGGAGATGCAGCTCAGAGACTCATCACACCACCACTAACGGTACCGCAACCAAGTTGCACTTCTTCGCAAGGTCGCGAACCTTTCCGTGCTCAGAGCGCAGATCCAGACTCCAAACTGGACAGATCTCCAGTTGGAGGTCTTAGCCTTACGCCTCAGCACACTCCTACACCAGACATTCTGTCACAGATACATGCTGCTATCTATCACCGTCCAGAGACTCGGTCACTTAACGGGAATCCTCGAAACCATCAAATATCGCCAACCTGGCACGAAAAGATTCTCATGTACGATCCGATTGTGCTGGAGGAGCTTACGGTCTGGTTGAATACAGAAGGCTTTAAGGCAATAGGAGAAGATCGCGAAGTAAGCCCGATGGAAGTCAGGAAGTGGTGTGAACAGAACGGCGTGTGCTGCTATGGAGTAGCAGGAGGATGGAGAGGTCGGGGTCGCCGACAGGATGCTGACTGAAGCACTTTTCACTGAATAGAGGTAGCAATTCTCATGGTGCTGAAAAAAAGGTTGGCAGAGAGTACTTAACAGGATGTTATGAACAGCGAAGGGGTTCTTTGGTGAAATTACGATTATCCGTTGCACTCGGCATCTAAGGAAATAAATGCAGGCTTTGGATAGGATGCGCGTTTTAGCGGTAACGGTGAGAAGATTAAGTGATTAGGATAGTGTACCCAGTATGTATTACTCGGTACCATATACGAGTCTTTGGAGTTCGGACAATGCGAGTAGATCAGCTACAGTGGAGATCATCCCCGCAACTTTCTCTGCTCATGTTCGCTAGGCCAGCGGGTGGCGTGCGATGTTCAATGCGCAGACGATCATCACAAACCTGCGCTCTGGTGGTAGGTAATGAATTTGATATGCGAGCGGTTCAATGCAACTTCTTACCACGCACCAGCAGCTTCCCCTGCTTCTCTGATCAACCCCTCGCTCGCTGTTCTGCTTTGTCAAGGGCTATTTTCCAGTACTTGACGGGACTCTGGAGAAGCAAATTACAGGCTTTCTTCCCGGTGGTCAGAATATGTGTTTGGGCTAAATTACATGGTTGTGTCTTTTGCTGAAGTGACAGGAACCCCGTCGATTGACACAGTTCATTTTGAAGATGCCATCGATTAGGGCCACGAGCGCGACTCTCTTCTCTTGAAAGGATGAGCCTGAGTAGTGTCCATCCTAGCCAGTCCGCATCCCCAAATACCTCTACGAGTTTTCTCCCACCGCCTCGCCAAATTCGCTTCGTCTCGACTGATGGCCAACCGCACACAAAGAGGAGGCGTATCAATGCTGCTTGTCTGACGTGTCGCAAGAGGAAGACGCGATGCTCAGGCGAGCGGCCTGAGTGTAAAACCTGCACGGATAACAAACATGTGTGCTCTGGCTATGCCGACCGTCCCAGCCGCAGGGACGGCGAGAGACTTGATGAGGATGTTGAAGAAGAGGCCGACTCTGGCTCCTCCACGCCCCAAAGGCAAAGCCGAGATGTGGAAGTCACGACGAAGCTGCGGGCGAGCTCAGAGAAAGAAGCGGACAACAAGCAGAGAGAAGATGCTGGAGAAATGATAAGTCCTTCAAGCAATCACACTGGCAGCAGCGTGGCCTCTGCGAGAAATCGGGTCCCCTATTTTCGATATTTTGGGCCGACTGCGATCGTGCCTGGGTTCAAGCAGATGGTGGTGCAGGTTAAAGACCATAGACCAGGCTTGCCTTCGGCCTCTGGAGAATCTCCAGCGGCGGGACAACAGCTAGATGGGAACTTTGCTGTTGGCCATGATCGCGTGCGCATTGGGATACCCTTTTATGATGCTACTGATCCGGAGCAAAATGCTCCTCTGATCACTCATCTTTGCGAAACATTCTTCACCCATCTCGGGTGCAACTACCCTTTTCTCCAACGTGACAGATTTCTTCGAGATTTGGAGGAGAAGAAAGTGGATGCGATCCTGGTCGACGCTGTTTGCGCCGTTGCTGCGCGATTCTCAGGACACCCGCTTCTTTGCAAATCCAACGACCCCTCCATCCCACTGGACGCCGAAGGAAATGTTAGGAGAGCCTTTCGAGGACAACCCTTTGCTCAAAGAGCCATGTCAGCAGTGATAGACACATTTTCTTGTCCAACTATGGCTGTTGCTCAAGCCTGTCTCCTCCTTGCCTATGAGGAGTTTGGCGTAGACCACGACAGTGGTTTATGGATGTACCTCGGAACGGCTATTCGCATGGCACAGGACCTCGGAATTCAGAAGCTCGAAGGTCTACAGCTCGAAGGGCGGATTGGGCCAACTCCAAAGACTGCTAAGCACAGTCAACAAGGTAAGGCGGAGGAGCAGAGGAGAGCTGAACAGCAACAGAAGCTGTCCAGCAATCTCTGCGAACAGGAGAGTAGCCAACTGGACGACCGAAGGGCCAGCGAACAGGAACGAATCGATACCTTCTGGGCCATCTTCTTTCTGGACCGAGCTGTCTCATCAGGTGTTGGCCGTCCGGTCACTCTGCGGGACAAGGACATCGAAATCTCTTTCCCATATCGAGCCGATGACAAGATGATCAATGGATTCCCCGATCCGTTCCCTGCCATGATCAAGATTGTTCACATGTATGGACGAGTTGCGGACGTTCTCAACAACATAAAGGAAGTCAGCCAGGTAACACCAGACGTGTTGAACCGGTTAGCAATCATGGAGAGAGATTTGACAGGTTCGCTTTCGTTCTCTTCTTGACCCTCTGCTAGGCTGAGCTGACCAAGACAAGGCATATATCAACGGTTGTCGCCTAGACTACATTTCAATGCCACCAATTTCCAGCATTATGTCAAAGCGGACCATGGCACCAACTTCATTCTACTACATTTCTGGTTTCATACCTTGATCGTGCTGCTTCACCAACCGACTCTGCTGCACTCGTTCGAAGGACGCATCCAACAGTTGTTCCCCGACAGCAGAGAATTATCCATGTCATCGGCAAAAACCATCGCGGATATCCTAGCGTTTGCAGAGCTGATTGATGTAAAGAGCTTCATTGGTAACCCTTTTACAAGTCAACCGATGTATGTTGCGGCGTGCGCTTTTTTGGCTGAAGCTGCTGCTCATGCCTCTCAGCCGCCGTCTCGAGCGACGTCTCCGCCATCAAATGGACATACGCCTCGGTTGAAACAAGACGTGATTGCTCATAGGACGCATAACACAGTCTCTGCGCGCCATACACTTCTCGCTACCGCTGCAAATCAAAACTATCAGCGGTGTTACAAGGCGCTGAAAACTTTGGATTCTTACTGGGCTGGTTGTCGCTATATCTTGACCGCACTCGACCAAAAGTCGAAAGGCTTGATGGATCCACTGCTGTTTACTGCGGATGATGTTGACGGAGAAATGCCGTCAACAGAGCCTTCGTTTACTACTCCCGGCTGGCGACGAAGCACCTCGCTCGCCGCTTCACTAGGAGCATACGGCAGACTGAGGTCACTCAAGGCACTCTCGGGTGGTGGGCCAATTTCTCCTTCGATGGATCTCAGTAACGCAATCGGGTGGTCGTTGACGGGAACGGCCAACTCCCTAGCCCCGAACCTTAGCTTCCTGTATCCGACCGGAGGCGAAACTGCAAAGGCACCACAGGGGGGCTCTTCGGGGAAGGAACAGGACGAGACGACCCAGGGTTCCATGGCTACGAGAAAAGTCGAAGCGCAGTGGCAGAATAGGAGTGTCTCCAATTTTCGGGACACGGCCATCAATGATCGGTTTGGACAAGCCTCTCCCGCCGAAACCTCGACCCCTACCAATAAAGTGTCATCTGTGCCTTACGATCCAGTATCAACGGCTGATGCAGATTTGTTGCTTGGACTTCACTCGCCATATACCACCAGTTCGGCTCCCAGACCCGTCCAACTCAGCCAACCTTCGAACGCCTATGGGTATTCACAACAAGCGCAACGCTATGCCGGTTCTTTGAGTCGTCAGCAACCAATTACTGACGCGCAAAGCCAAGCCTACAGCGACATGTTGATCGAATCACAAGATATCGACATGAGCTCTGGGCAGCAATTCAACTTTGATTTTCCAGGGGGCGACATGATACCCTGGTTGGAATATCTGCCACAGGATGTTTTGAGTTACTTTACAGAGCCTCAAGCAGGGACATGATCTGTGACTCTCGTGGTTAGGGACGCTGGATTGACGTTAGTCCGAGATGGCATGTCGTTGTATCTGCTCTGTATCAGCGTAAATGCCCTCAAAGGGAACAGGCCAACCGAAATAGGAATCCACGAGCAATATGCCCCAAGCTCTGTCAAAACCTGACGGGAAACCAGTCATCAGCATCACACGCCGTCATACAAAGGCAGAAGGGCAACTTCCTAATGATGGATACGCTTGGCCTAACAGAGCAAACTGCTCTCGCTGCTTTTTTAGTCAAGAGATTCTCTACGCTATAAGCGGCTAGTTCTTTTTCCGTCTTGGGAGACTCGGCGTCCACAACCGGCCAACAAATGACGCTGTTTTTATTCCAACGTCTCTCCTACCCACGAGTACAAGTTCGGGGTGATTCTCCACTCCATGCCTTGTTACCTATTTGCAGGTACTTACCACGATGAGAGGACACGTCTAGTTCTTCAAGAGCCCACGAAGACGCAGCGATCACGACCATTCCTTCCCAACCAGGAGGAGATGGGGGAATGACGGAGCCCTTTCAAGTTCGTCACTCACCTAAGTTTCCCTAAGGCAGGCAGTCAGGCAGGTATGGGGGTCTGCAAAGCTACCTGGCATGCACAGACCTTTTGGTTCGCGGGATAGGCAGACAGAGGGACCTGACAGAATTCTTGACACACATGACCTCTCGAATCACAGATCACAGAGACAGACATGACACCCACTGCGGGTTTGACTTCCCAAAGGACGAGGTACGAGCTGGTGGGAGTGGGTGAGTGGGTGGGTGGCGCATTTCAAGCGAGCAAAAAAAGACTTTCAAGGAACTAAGCCTGCAGTTTAGTCTTCAAGGGAGGGTCAAACTTGTTCCAGTCCCACGCTTTCTCCCCTGTCGCCTTGCCTGTCTGTCGGCCTGTCTGTCCGCTTGTCTCTCTCTGCGTGTCTGTGGCAGGGCCCGCGCGGCCCGAACTCTCATCTCACCCCACGCGCGGCACACGGAGGTACAGAGCTCAGCTGCATCGAGTTCGTCTTGGTTCTTTTCTTGCTCCTACCCTACAATTTGAGCAGGAGGCCGTCTTAAATGGGAACAAAACAGTACTGAAAAAAGAGAAATATACAAAACGGCTTCCTTTCAGTTTTTTGAAGCGAAAAAGACCGCAGCAGAGGGAGGGATTCATCAAGATGCTGCCAGCAGGCACAGAGAATGTGGGAGCTTCTTGACCGCCCCGCCGCCTGGCCACGCATCTGTCACGAGCCAGCCGCATATGATCAGCCCTTCCCTTTGCTCCCAATTCGACCGGCCACTCTGCAAGGTTCCTGGGTCTGATCACGCGGGCCTCTCTCGCCAGGTGGTAGGACATACGTTCTGCGGGACTCTGTCCACACACCATGACAGTACGTAACCGATAAGGAGAGGGCGCCAATCACGCTCCCCAAACACCGCAGAGACAGGCTCTCGAGCTTCTGCGTCTGTGACACGGTCTTTGCTTATTGCGTGGGGATAGTATCGGGGTGGTTCTACACGGTGGAAATCTCCTTACTTTCGAGTTCTGGGCTGGGAAGAGATCACCACGGCTTGGGATGAGAGAAACAAAGGGTATAAAAAGATGCTCCTCTTCCTTCTTTTCTCCTCTGATCTTTTCTTCCCTCATCACCACTCCGCAAAGAACATCAAACAATAGAAAAGACAAAACATACCTTTATCAAACCCAACATCAACAAGTCAACAAGACTTTTTCCAAGACATCCCTTCACAATGGAACCACACTGCAGCACCTGCCAACACGGCTCTGGCGAATGCAAGGGTTGCACATGCTGCTCCGTATGTCTTTTTTTCTTTTCCTGTCACCGTCTGCGACACACCCCAGACAAAAGTATCGTTGCTGATGTTGTTCAAAAGCATTAAATCTCTTCCATCGACATATCCCTAGTTCTTGACAGGCGCGGAGGAGGGCTGGCCATATCGTGGTTTGCGTTGCACTATCACCAGTCAAATGATATCTCTGAGCCGTGGGCTGGAGATCAGCGTAAACGGGTCACACACGTCAAAGGATTGTGGGATCTCTCTCTCTCTCTCTCCCACACGCGATGGAAATAGCAATCAGTCCTAGATAGCAGCAACGGTCAGCAATACATCGTCTAGTGTCTGAAGTCTTTGTCTCATGCATAAGAATTACCATCCCACGTACCTTTTGAATGAAGAGCCCTGGAAACGGAGATTTCCTTGTAGTGTCAGCCATGAGATCCGCAATGCAAACAATCACGCGTGGTGGTGTCGACTGTCAAGCCCCTGCTCGCTTCGTTACCTGTCTCATAAATGTCTCTTTTGCTCGCTCACTGTCTGGCCGCCTTCCGTTCCTGCCTGCGCCTGCGCCTGCGCCTGCGCCCTTTCATCAGATGAATTCCGTCGAATAGAATAGGTCCAGATCCCACGACATCTTTTCAGGCGGGAACCCTCCATCCTGCTTCAGTGCAGTAGTTCCATGGCACCTGTTGTCCTCTTCAATCACTTGAAGCCGTACTCCCGTACCAAGGCTTCTGTTCAACAAAGTCCATGCCACGTTCTTTGGTATCACATCCCTCTGGTCCAACTCTTCCTAGAGGCCAAGGGGCTGCACTCATGCAGTGTTACAGGGACAGTGTAGCCTGCACCGTCGACACATGAGTGAGACATTGCTGATTCCCTCGAAAGTCCCTTGTATTCCGCACTCCAAGGATGGACATATGATCGAATCTCATGCAGCAGCCTAACCTTCGGCCAGTAGAAGGGGGCCATGGCACCGACACGTCTCAAGATGATGGCACGGCCAGGGGTGAGAGGATGGTTTGGTTCGGCAGCCATGTGCTCATTGCATGGCTTGCAGATGTTGTAAGCTCCTGTCCCTCTCTTTGAATCTTGACGGGTGGCTGGGGAATCGACCGCTGAGTTGGTAAAGTTTGTCGATGTGGAAAAGAGTGGCATGGCTTTGTTAAGTCCTGTCGTTAGGCAACTGACACAGGTACAGAGACGCCGTTTCATTTTCCAGACCGCATGTAGAGTGACAGACTGCATTGATGCTGGATTGAGCTCGGCTTCTAGCTGACTGTCGCCAGTAGTACGCTAGGGCATGCTTCACTGTCACCGCCCTCTTACCTCCGGTATCGTGGTAGGAGGAATTGACGTTCCTCTCTGACAGTCGATTGAATCGTCGTCTTCCTCGTCTGGCCCTTGCTGTTTGGACAACGGAAACAACATGCCGAGGGTGCAGCTGCTGGACTAAGCGATACGAGTACCTCCTTTCGCCCCGACCTGGGAGATATGACAGCGTCTGGTGTAGGAGTAGGATTGCCTTCACGATGAACTTGAGAGGAATGGGGTCCGGTATGGTCAAGCTCCTGTCCGATACAGTGTTGCTGGAGCTCACTGACTGTATCTCCGCAGATATATCGCATGCATAACCTTGATGGTGAAAGACATTGCGACATATCCCCAGAGAAAGACATAAAGGCCAATGCCAAATACCTGGACAACAGAGGCAAGGGAGAGGGGGGAGAGAAGAGAAGAGGAACAACGACCATGAAACCCATCGAGGCGCAGGGTGCTTTGTACATATGTACCTATAGCCTCAGGGGGGACGCGACCTACACAGGTCTTGCTGAGAAGGGAAATAGCAGGGGGATACCCGAAAAAAGTGAGGACCTTAAGATCCCCCTTCCCGTCCTTTCTCCTTCCCCCTGTGATTCAACAGCATTATTGGACTTGTCATGAATCAGGAACCCTCTTTTCCTCTCTTCGACCAGCGCACCATCCACAACTGCATGCGATTTACTGAGCTAAGACCGATTTCGCTGCGAACCCTGGTTGTGTGTCAAGGATAAGAGGGAAATCAACACGAGGTATGTACTATGTACTCTGGCGGTGTGCTAAAAGTTGGACAGCTGCTTGTCCCTGGTGGAGGTCAGAGAGTACGAGTGAGTACATTCAATTTTACTACGCTGATCGCAATGAGAGACGCGAGAGAGAGATAGGTTAGTACGTCCACTGTGAGCGAGTTCGTCATGAATCACGTTCTCCTCCTTCGGCACTGTTTGATACTCAATGGAGAGGATGTCGTTTTTTCCCTTTCACACCTCCCCTCTCCCGCAATCTACGTATAGAGCAAGAGACAGAACGATACGAACTCCTACCATCGCCGTCCCTTCCCTTTCTTGCGTCAAGGCAATTGCTCCGAACCCAGCCATCTGTGGTAGCTGTGATAGCTTCAGGTCGTGCAGGTGATGAATCGCAAAGTGAGGACCTTAAAGACCAATCAATTGTCCGTAAAATGGATTCCGAGAAAGGAAAGCGGGTTTAGGCCGTACGCGGCACGGCTCGACACGCCTTGCCAAATCGGGGCATGTGTGGAAAAAGCAGCAAGAGGTAAAGTACCCGGTAAAGCTCGAGTACAAGTACAAGGAGTCGAGGACGAGGACGACTACGACTATGAGTACGAGTGGGTGATACATGTAGACACAGGTAGAATATACGCAGCACCTACCTTCCCACCTTGGATTGTCACTACTAGGTAGTATACGAGTCCCGTCGAATGTACTTACTAAGTACCGAGTATATACATGCCGTGTATTTGTCGTACCCGAGGTACCAGCCCTAAGCGGCCACACGGCCCATCTGCCTATGCTCTTCTATTCGTACTCGGTACTCGTACCAGTACCAGTACCATGGTAATACTTGTAGGTACAAGCAGTGAATCGCAAACCAACAAAGCAGCGATGGCAAATCCACCCGAAAAAGGACAAGCTGGTTTGTGGTAATAGGTAGATCCCCGATCAATCGAACACCGAGTTTGAGAGTCCAGCGAAATGGGGAAAGAAAGACAAGGTCAAACTGTCATATCTGCCCGTGACCCCATTGTCTAAATACGAGGTGCGGATGGATTGACGGATGATGTGATCAGACTCAGACTCAGGCTCAGGCTCAGGCTCAGACACTAACTAGGATGGCCGTATGCGGTACGAGGCACATAGTAATCAATCACGTCAAACTCAACTCCAGCCGAGTGTGTATATAGATCGGAGACTTCCAGACTTTAGGTACATTAGATTTCACTTTCCAGTCTCGTATATCTACCATGTGACACCCATATATACACACACACACACACACACACACACACACACACACACACACACACACACACACACACACACACACACACACACACACACACACACACACACACACATGGATATGCTCGGTATTTCTCACAGATGGAGTCACAGTAATACTGCGACAACACATATACCAATATACCAGACCTGGGAACGACAACGCAGTGACTCACTCCTCATTGCGCCCAGAGGCCTTTCCAGCCGAGGTGAGACGAGTGGACTGGACACACGGCGCTGATGGTCCATCCATCACATCTGAACAACCTTACAACCTCCGCAGTTGACGTGGCTGCAATCTCCCACATACATGTCTGTCTGGCACAACCGTCGTTTGTAAAACACCCGCTCGTCGACGCCACATCCACATACCAGATTCAGCAGAGACCAAACATCTCTGCTCCCACGGCGTTCATGAAGAAGTCCGCCTTGTTACCCGGCAGTGAAGACTCTTCAGTTGATTGTTCAACCACCGACACCGCTCCCGCAGCATCTGGTTTTCATGCTTCAGTGACTCGGCGTGGAGGAGGAGATCCTTGACTTGTTTCTCCAGGTCCCTCACATATTTCACCCTCCGTTGCCGAAAGGCACGTTGGGCCTGTCGGTTCTGTATCTTGCGTTTCTCCTCGCTCGCGGAAACCGCATCTGCCCTCGTCGGGCTCGTGCCACCGCTATCGCTGTCGGCAGCTTCGCTTCGTTGGCGTTCCTGCCCCTGCGTGGGTTCCTCTCCGCCGACTGGGATCACACCGTCACCAACTTGGCCAAGTCGCATTCCGTGTGGCAGCTCGTCGCTCATGTAGGCTGGAGTTGAGCCTTTGCTTGGAGGATGTTGGCCCATGTGCTCAGGGATCGACATGGGAGATGCAAATTGGTGAGTGGTAACTGCACCCGAGCCCCAGAATCCATCACATAGCCCATAATCTTGCTGCCACATGTTTCCTGCCGAAAATTGACGAGGCCATTGACCAAAGGCTTGCTGGTGTAGGGGGTGGAAGCCGGGGAAACTATCGATACCTTCTCCATGACCCAGAACCTGACCTTGCGGAAACGCTGGAAGGGTCGACGTGGAGATTTGTGGATAACTCGAGGCCACTATCGTTGTCGTGGGCGGCGCAGACATGGTGCTCCGCGACCTAGGTGCAGAGGTTTCTTTGTCGACCTGGGTCGATATGGTATGCTGAGGAGCGGGCAGTCCTTTCTTTCAACCATATTTCCAGGGGCCAACAGAAGCAAACGGTAGTATGCTGACGGGGTCACTGCCTAGCAGAGTGACTAGAGACTCGGTGACCCTTTGGATTCGGAAACTGACACATCTGTTGGGCATGCCTGTTGGTTGTCCTGCTTACCGACATGAATCGCTCTTAGAGCTGACATCTGAACAGCCGCAGGTAACCTCTGAGGCCATCATCCTTCATACCTTTTCAAACTGAAGGACGCCCTGCCGTCAAAATATGTGCTGCTTGACAAACCGATAGCTCATTGAGATATAGCGGCATGAGGATTGAAACCCTGTACAATGATTGAGATCAGTAATCCTTTGACAGAGGAGGTCCCTGGATGGTCCGCCTATCATGGGCAGCGAAAATGCCACAATCCCATAAAATATCCCCCGCTAGTTGGGACGAGGCTTCATATCACATAGACACATTGGCTAACTCACTGTCTCGAGTATCCACAATCTCGCTTCCTGAGCGACGTATGGCATGGTATGTCCACTTCGCTTCGTAGCAGCCGCCTGGAGTCGAATGGTATAACTGGTCTGGACATCGCCAAATCACTGGCAGGCCTAAGGTTTGGGAGAAAGAGCTGAGCATCGAGCATTGTCTCGTGAATGGGGTCGCAAAATATCTAAACGGCAAGGCTGGTACCTTCGTCCGCTTCGAGGCGAGATATACCAACAACCTCAACAATATCGGTGAAGTGAAGACTCTCAAGCTAATAGTCGAAGAATGGCCTTGCCTCGAGATACGGCATGAATATACTCGCACAGATGCTCAATTTCTGACCAGGTTGTGATGCCAGACAGGAAATTGAATACGCCCTACCGCCACAGCACTTAGATTGACTCCGACCTGAGATCATGATCGACCCTTACTATGCCGAGACGAAGCTTTGCGCCCTAGGCTTGGTACAAGCGCTGAGACTCCAGGAACCCCATCCGAGCGACATGGACAACAAGGGAATAGAGGTGGCGGAGGTCGCGGCCGCAGCGGCCGTAATCAATCGCAAGGCCTCCCAGCTGCTTGTTCTCGCCCCCTCGCATCCGCCTGTTTTTCTCGCAATGTGCCACAAAGAAAATATTGTTCATGTCAAGTCGCAGAGTCCCGAAAAGGTGAGGCTCGGTCCATCTGTTTGGCCGTGAATGTGGCTTTGCTGAAACCGAGGTAGTCCCGGTATGCTGAAAGTAGTAACCGCGCTGCCGCGGTCCCCCTCATTTGTAACGGTCAAAAGACCAGGATAAGAAAAGGCCAGTCTCTTGTCCATGGTTTGATGTCCGCTTCAAGTCGAATTGACCAGAAGAGTTGTTGGGTGCGAAATGGCGCCACGCTGGGCCAGGTTCATCCATCCAGAAGCACCAGATGTAAACAGCAAATACCAACCGACGGACGACAAGATCTTTAGATCTCCATTCGGCCCATTCCCCCCAACACCCAAGGATCTGAATGTGCATGAGCTGTGCTTTCCGCCTGATCAGCCTTTGCCACCAGACTATGACCTGTTCATCGATGCTGTGACCGACCAAAGGATCACGCTCCATCAATTTTATGAGAGAGCCTGTGCATTGGCACGAGTATTTCGTTATGATGGGCCGAATCCTTTGGGATTGACCCGCTCACCAGTCGACGACAAAGACAATGGAGAGATCCTGGGTCTCTTTTCCCGCAACAACATCCACTACTCGATGTTGGCTCATGCGTGTTTTCGTTCCGAGCTGGTGTTTGGCGGAATAAGTCCAGCATCCACCTCGTACGAGCTGTGGCATGTTCTGAGAAAGATGCAGATCACATCGATTGTGTGCCACGAGACGCTTCTCCCCGTTTTGCACGAAGCTATCAAACTCGGTGTCGACCCGGTCAACGACAAGCTCCCCCTTGTGCTCGATCAAAGAAAGATCATCGTGCTGGCCGATGATTCTTCCTTGGATTCCGTCGGGGGTTATCCAACTGTAGAGTTCTTCATCCGGCGTGGCTTGCAGATGCAGGAGCGCAAAAGAAAACTGATTGGCGGCGAAAAACTGTGTTACTTGTTCCAATCGTCAGGCACGTCTGGTTTGCCTAAGGCGATGATGATTTCCCACAGAAATGCCATCCATAGCGGTTTACAAAGCACCGTAACGGCGACCATGACTGCACTGTTCAACCGAGTCGAACCGCTGACACACCAAATACAACTTGGAATTGTCCCAGCATACCATTCTTACGGCATGATCACTTGGATCCTGCGCGTCAATCTTGTTCCCTCGACCAACATCATGATGTCCAAATGGGATATCGAACTCGCCCTGAAATGCATTGAAAAGTACAAAATCACAGTCCTACCTCTGGTTCCTCCGGTTGTGAGACAGCTTGCGCAGTCACCACTGACTGACAAATACGACCTATCATCGGTGGTCAGCTGCTTCAGTGGTGCCGCGTATCTTCCGCCCGAAGTCGCATACAAGCTTGCCCAGAAACTGCCCGTGAAAAACCCCATCCCCTCTGGTTATGGTCTGTCGGAAGCCGCATCCATTGCGGCACCCCCTATCGAAGGTATCTTCGGCTTGAAAGCATCCGAGCCGGGTACAATCGGCTACCTTCTCCCGGGAATGGAAGGCCGAGTTGTTGACCCGGATACCCTACAAGATGTGCCGAAGGGTACCAAGGGCGAGCTGTGGGCAAGGGGAAATGTTGTATGCATGGGATACTTTCGAGATCCGCAGGCTACTGCCGAACTGTTCGCGGAGCCTGGCTGGCTGAGGACAGGAGACCTTGTTTTGCGGGATGCAGAAGATCGAATTCATTACCTTGATCGTCTGAAGGAGATGATCAAGGTGAAAGGATTGCAGGTGGCCGCGACCGAGGTGGAAGATACTCTGCTTGAACACCCAGAGAAACTTGTTACAGATGCATGTGTCGCCGGAGTCGATAATGGTCGGGGGGACGGAAGTTTGTTTCCGAGGGCATGGGTGGTGCTGAGTACCGAAGGAAAGAAACAAGGTGCAGCAGCAGTGATCCAGAAGTTGAATGAGCATGTCGGGCAGCGCTTGAGTAAACACAAGCATCTTGCAGGAGGAATCGAAATTGTCGACTCGGTGAGTCTAAAACCCACGATATTAGGGTTCCTGCTGACCATCATCCTCTAGATTCCAAGGACACCATCCGGGAAGATGTTGCGAAGAGAGATGAGAGACGCTTATCATCGCCGCATCAAGCAAGAAGCTGCGGGAAGTAAATTATAAGCTGATCCTTGCCATGACTGCCATAACATTGCATTTGAGACGACGGAGACGAGAGCTCTCAGCTGCACAGTAGAGAAACCGAAAGCGCATGGTAGATCCTTTGATTGATCAAAAATTTCCATCCTATTTCGAGAGGACTGACAGTGGCGTCGGAATCGCGCGCAAAACCTCATTTTAAGCACATCACAAAGTTTTGGGCGATGTCTGTGGTTGGGAGCTCAGTACCAGGTTTGCAGTGTCCAGTTGGTTCACCTCAAGGCCTCGTCCACCTTGGGGGAACGGCACAAGATGTGATAGTCATGGAGACGGCCATGTTCGTTCCAGACGTGTCTGCGTAGTCATCAGCAGTTTAGGCCAGACAGTCATCGTTTGTGCCGTGTGGTCATTCTGTCGGGGCAAAATTTTCGAATCAATCCTGAGACCAATTCAACAAATCTCATCATACTCCAGTGCGCTTTAAACCTCATTTCAAAGAGAACTTCAGACACTAGCGTGCTTGTCTGTTATCTTGATCAATCATAATGGGCAATCCTTGGGAGAGCGGGTCTTATGCATGTCAGACCCGCTTTGAGACGAAATGTGGAGGAATAACAAGACCGTATCAGTATGTAAACTCACCTATAGTTTCGCGGAACTATGAGATCTTCCCATGCTGGCTTGAAATTTGAGCGGTGCAGAGACGTAGCATCTGCACCTGTAGAAAACAGTCTGAAATCATTTCGTGGTACCGCTCCATTTCAACGTATCAATTCTCAGGAGTTTAGAAGCTCATGTCCGAGCGCACCACAACATACCAAGCTCGTAGACAGTTGTTTGTTGCCTCTGGTTTCCATGAGATTGCTTCTGCATAAATTACACCCGAAGAGATAGGATGGCTGGCGGGAAGAGGCACAGGAAGAAGGAACCGGTAGAGTGCGCCGATGCAATATAACCAAAGCATAGAAAGCAAAGGTGTTGCAGAGCCTGGGAGATGAGGCCGTGATACACGATCACAACGCACCCTAGTGGCCAAACTCCTCTCTAATCTCACGAAGAGATGAGGAAGGAGGCATCACAGCCGCCGTCCTCTGGTCGACTGGCAAGCCTGCTAATGGTGGCATTGAACCATGGCTCAAAGCCCCGTAGACGGCAGTTTTCTCTGGATGGTTTCCCAAGACGAAACTCACTGGATAACGTCAGCGTAATCATCAGCATCTTGCCGGATGACAAAAGGCATGCGCCATGCTCGGAACCTTGTGGACAAATCCGAGTCTATGCGCAGTTAGATCTTCAGGGTGTCGTCTGGCGACAGAGCGAACCTGGGCACCCAGTGTTGGGCTTGCAAACGGAGCAAGGTACCAGAGGGAATGCTGTAGTAGGACTAGCTCGACTAGCTTAAGCCTTGGGCAGGAAGCCTCTGAAGGTCTGCCTAACCTTGTCCCGCACCGCTCTTGACATTTCTGGGTTCGCCTTTACTCTCGATGCTGTACTTCAACAAGGCCAAATGAACATCGACAAAGTCGACGACGATGCAGAGGAGATCATGAGCGGTGAAGTCAACAATGAGGGGTTGCTGTCGTGGTCAACGCAGGAGACCATAGTTGCAGTTACGGATGTTATGTCGGGCTTGTGACTTTTCATCATCAGGCAATCAACGCTGTGCTGCAGTTACTGTACCCACAGTGAGGCGGCGCGGAAGAGCAGACGAGAGCCGCACCATCGCAAGTCGACAAACACCCGGGATGCAGGGAACCGAGTTTCGTGAGTAAGGACAAAAGCCAAGACGGGTTTGCAGGCACTCATGCCGAGGGTCGTGATTCGGTCGAGCTGGATGCAGAAATGATTGCAATGCCCAACTTCACCCGCGGGCCTGATGGGGAAGGCGGACGAACAGGTGTTCATGCACAGGACGGCTGCTCTTCGGGGGTGAGTCCAGCCACGGGCCAGGCCTTGCCCTCATTGGCAGCTCAAGACTCCAGAAACGTCATACATGAGACCAGAGGACATGGACCTGTCTTTTGCGCCTTGGGCAGATGGGCGAGAACAAGCGGTGGAGCCAGCGAAGCCAGTCGTTGTCGAAATGACAGCCGTCATGCTGTGTGACGGAGACAAGTGACGGAAAGGTCATAGGTGAGCAGCATGGCAGTGAGAGGTCGAGGCTCAGGTCCACGGGAGAAGCTAGAATTTCATCGTGACGCGGATCAAGTTGAGGAAAGTGTGGACGTCTTGGTAGAGGAACAGTGGAACCAGTCAACGCGGGCTTTTTGAGAAGCGCAGGCGAGTTTTGCTCGCAAGCGTATTCGGAGAAACTTTCATCCGAATAAACACTCTCTACTTGTTCCGTACTGAGTACGAAGGATACGATTTCGCACTTCATATGGTCATTCATCATGCCATCTTCAAGCTCCCTCTATGTAACTGCTATCGCTCTGGCCTTTCCTTCTCCTTGAAAAAAAAAGGAGTTTCAGCATACCTATATCCCTTGCAGGTGAGAGGTGCATGCATACCGTTGGCTCCTTTGGCGGTCAAGATGATGAGAGAGACCCACGCAACACAAAGCTCGGAAACGGCCTCGTGATTGGCATCCGCATGGTTGACAGATTTTGAGGATGCATGAGACACCCAACACTCGAAGCCACTTTCAGGTCGCAACCCACGGGGTGGAGAGACGGTAGAGACACAACACATCACGCTTGAATGCTTTTAGCTTTCATCGACGAGGTGGGATTATGTCCCAAGTGTCACTGTGAATCGAGACACCCCGCCAACCATCCGCGACCATGCCATTGATGCAGCCATACAGTCTGTGTCTGTCCTTCCCGTAGCGATCAAGCCCTCCTATCAATACCTTCGAGCTAAGACAGCTCAGTAACCCAGCAATACCCAGATCGTCCGAATACCTTCCAACGCCAGCGCTTCAGCTCGATGTAAACAGCGGAGGTGTACATCAGCCATTCTTGAAATGCTCCTTTGCGTATTGTTCGCATGCCTAGAATAAGCTATCATGAGCATGGGCGTCTAATTGGACCACGACCAGATACTGACCTTTGCTGGCTTGCCGAGCTTCTGCCCGATCGCTTTCCACTTGTTTGCTTCGTATTCTTTGATAGCTTCGCGAAGGGCTGCGGACTGTAGGCGCTGTCGGTTTAGACTAGAAATGAGGGAATCACTGACATGCACACGTACCTCATCTTCGGCAAACTCGGCATAATGCATATCCTGGAGCGCGCTATCAGTAACAACTCCGCTACTATCAGACCACACTTTACCTTGTACCAGTGCTTCTTCACGCTGCCTTCAGTCCGTGCAGGGAAAGCCTGGGGTGGATCAGTAAAGACAAGGCCAAGTGGGAAAATGATCGGAGGACAACCTTTGCTATCTCACTCCAGCTGTGCCCAGAATCACGCATTTGCTTCAATCTCTGTTCCTCCTGGGCAGTCCACGGCGTGTTGGTTCGCCCGCGCTTTTTGCCTGTCTCGTCCGCCAGCCCGACCGGCAAATGGGCATTGGGAGTGATGGGGTCCGAAGGTAAAGCTGTGCCCGGAGGAAGTGTATTCAGCTTGGGACTGTGTGATGCGCGTCGCTTGCGCGGATTTTGGGAAGAAGCTGGCGGGTGAAGCATGTCGGGAACGGGTTTGGGTGCCAGCGTAGCCTGAGGCGCCGGTACCTCCTTATTGATGTGAGAAGACGTAGTGGAGGCGAATTGCTTTTGTTTTTTGGTTGGGGGAGGTGATCTGATACGAGGGGGAGGTCAGACTCGGACCGATGAGGTCAAGACACAGAAATCAAGTCTGAAAGAGCAGCCAGCCAGGCTGGAGCACCAAGCAAAGCCCTTTAGTGCAATTTTCCAATGTACCACTCGGGACATGAGAACTTACGACATGGTGACGGAAGTGTATCTGCTTAGTAGAGGTGAGTTTCAGTCGAAGTTGCCATCGGCATGATCGAGTCTTGTTCTGGGCTAGGAATGTCCCGTGAAGTCAAGGCCAGCCACGCGAGACACTCGGTGCTTGGAGAGGCAGGCAAGTGTATTTGGGTCAACGATAGCAAGCGTCACACAACAGCCGGAAGCTGCGAGAATGCAGGAGCTAAGCTTGCACGGTGCTTTCAGACAGGCGCCAGCGTGGCTGAGACTGGGGGGGTATAGAATGAATGAGCGGGAAGAAGGTGTGACCGGCGATCGGGGAGGAAGTGCAACAAGGCAAACTGAGGCCAATCAGGTCCGGCAAATCCAACGCAGGAGGGAGAAAAGAGCGGGACGGTAGCGAAGAGGCGGTGCGACAGCGGTGCAGGTTTTGAGAAAACCTCTTGCTTTATCTGATTTGTCTCTCCCTCTGGCTCGTCGTCCCTGGGGTTAGACTTTTTCTTTCTTTCTGGTTCCAAGTGTTGCTTGCATCGGTCCTGAGCAAAAAGTGACCTGACCGTGAAACGAGAAGACTGGAGGGATTGCTGATCATATGTACCACTTCCGGACACTTGGGGACTCCGCCACTAGATGAGCGGTGACAAGACTTTGTCTGGACTTCGGGGACTGCGGTAGGGATGAATCAGAAATGAGCCAAACACTGGTAAGAATAGCCGGAAGTAGTTGAGAGTCGTTCATGTACACCGGACAGCCAAACCAACTAAATGAAGGAGGCAGAGAAGCAGGATTGACATGGACTGCGCGTGCAGTACAAACTCATTAGAGCGGAAGAGGTAAAGAGAGACCCAGGGGGTTCCTGCAAGGAAGAACCAGGGAGCAGGCAATGGATGGACCAGAAGAAAAGTAGACGAGTCACTTTTTTTTTGTTTTTACGTCGTTATTAGCTACTTCTCGATCGAGTGGGCGTCTGTAGATACCTCAATGTTGTCAACGGTCTCGTGAGGCGTTGGGAGGCATCAAATGAGGGAGTGTCAAAGCACATGCCATGGCTGTAGTGGCA